GGCCCTCAGGAAGCTGCAAGGTGTTACCAACTTTTCAGTATTATTTGAAATTTTGCTTGCTGCTCTGTAATATACCAAAAGGCCGAACAAGTACCGATTTTTTTCCCCATGCTTTGCATTTAGAAACTATGATTCCTGCACCTGCTTGTTCACAACCCTAGAAGTGGAAGATCACCTGAAGCATATCACATGGAGAAAGGTAGCTGTGCTACTCCATAAGGCAACAGTGATCTTTCTAAATAGTTCTGTTGGAGGGAAGCTGCAGACATTGTTTTTGGCAAATGAAACTTGTGGTTGGTGCAGAAGTGGAGTTTCTCCTGAGTTGTGGGGAGGGCTGGCTACGGGGAAGATACATCTTTGGGTGCTGGCTTGTTCATATTTCCCAGGCAATTCAGAATTTCATTCCTTTGATTCATTTAAATGGGATCCTTCTGCATGACTAGAAATGGTTCTTAAAAGTGTAAATGACACCTGATAGAAAACACACAGATGAAGCTGTCACCAATTTTGCTGGGGCAGTGTTTTGCCAACATAGAGTCCTTTTAGAAAATCCCGTTCAGAACTTGCAGAGGTTTTCAAGGCTCACGAGGGATTTGCAATTTTCGACAACCTAAATGTGAATCTGGTGTTAAAGCTTTAGCTATCCTTGAAGCTTTCTCCCTAGGGATGGAGGTTAGGAGGTGTTAAAAATACACAGGGGTATTCTTGCGCTTGGATTATGTGTACACACCAGACCTCTGTGAGTTAATATCATCCCATCTTGTTGTGTCATTGCAGAAAGTTCTGTTCACTTGTGCAATCATTATTAATAAAGATGTATTTAGTAAGTGATTCCTGGCGTGAGAGTGCTCATATGCACCTTGTTGTTTTCTTGCCAACAAAGTCTAAATTGTAGCCCATTTAAAAAGCCTTGTCTCCAATCTGTTCAGAGAGGTTTTCACATTCTTGGGAAGTCCTCATAACTTTTTAGATCTGTGTGTGAGTTTGAGGAGGAAGCATTCAGATCTGGTTATTATATTGCAGGAACCTAGAACAGACCCATTTAGTTCAGCATATACAGACAGATGTCTTAACATAAGACACTGGTATAAAAATCTTACACATTGACTTTCTACCAGCTGCTCCTCTCTTCTTGCATTGTTTAAGTCAAGAAGCTCTTCTTTTCAGCATTTACAGACTCTTGAAAACAATGAGTGATACGTTTTCCCTCTGAGCACTGCTGCCAGGGCTGCCTGTTAGCCATGACAGATGACGAAGTCCTCTCCTGGGCAAGTGCTTCAGGTGCTCAGCTGGCAGATAGTCCTGTCCTCACTTTGTGACATGTTGGTTGCCTGCCTGCAGGCTACACATGCCTGTGTCTCATGTGGCTGTGTCTGATGCCAAGCTGCTGCTTCTGACTTATGCTGGTAACAGTCAGCAGGGCTCAGGTCTTGGAGTGGGAGATGTATGAACACTGCACAGGTATGGCTCTTGGCCTCTTGGTCTTCCTAGCGTTGCCTTTGGGGTTGCTACCTCTGCAGCCTCCCTGCTCTTTATTTCCTTGTGCTGACTGTTTCTGAGCTTCCCTGCCGCTGGCCCGCAAATGCATTCAACACGTCCCACAGCCTGGTAGGCCACTAAAAAACACAACTAGGGAGGACATTTGGGCAGACAGTCCTCTGATGGACTCTTCTGCTCCATGTGCTCTGCCTGTGGATGATAACATTGCAAAGTTCAAATCTTAAATAAAACCCAGAAACCTTCTGCCCTACTACTGCCTTAACATGTGCTGCCCTGATTTCTGGGCACTGGTTTGCCAGGGATGCACACTTGGCACTGCTTGGCAGGATCATGTGTATCATTCATTCACTAAGAGACAAATATGACAAACTCCTCTGGGCCTTTTAGTGGGGGGAAAATGGAAAGATGGTCTACCTTGGGAAGAGAACGTAATGAACTGGTTGAGCTGTCTGTTCTTTTAAAATTAATTCATAGATGCCATTACTCTCAAGGAAAGGAGATCTCTGGCTGCCAGTGCTACATTTATCACTGGGACATATAATCAGGGGCGTTGCTGATGTGGCTTTGGAGCTGATGGGGTGAGAACAGACACACCACTCCGTGTGCCCTGCAATGAACATGGATACTTCTTCTGTGGCTGTGCGCAGTGTGTGACCCAACTCGGTGTCTGGGATGGGACCTCCTCTGGGTGAAATTTTTCTTGGTATTTCAGTTAGAACGTCCCACCAACAAGAGTTGGGACAAGCAAAAATGTCACTTTTGTGGGGGTTCTTCAACACCTGCTCAGAGGTGGAACCCTATTGCGCTTTTTCCAAGGTGAGATGCTTATTGTGCCCATCAGCCCCGCTCTCCCTAATCACCCAACCAGTTTCACAAAGCTGACAGGAGTATGTGAGGCTCCCAGTCTTAAATGTGCCAGACGCAGCTGAAAATGCGGAAAAAAAAGAATTCGAAAGTTACTGGGTGGGGGGAAGGAATGGGAAAAGTACACTCGGAAAGAATCGGAACATGACTTTGTATCTTACTTCCTTAGGACACAAAGCTGATGAGCTGAACTGTCCAGGCCTTGTGTTTGAGGTCCAGAGGCAAGACAGAGAGATAAGTAGCAGTGTAAATGACAAAGACAGGGAGCTGGTGCTGGGGCACGAAGGCCTCCTAACTGGAGATGAGGAGCTGTACAGTTGTGAAAGCTTTGACAAAAAGCCAGGGATTTTGCTACAGTCAGCTTACTGGCTGTGGGGTAGCAGCTGACAGGCCTAAGACACCAATGCAGTGCACCTTGAGCCACAGTATTTTCATTGTTTCTATGGCCATAGACTGCAACAGCGGACTTCCTTATAGAAATGAATCTTTCGGGCTCAGAATGCAGCTCTCCTCTTCAAATTCCCATTCTTTCCCCTCCCCTGCTTTCTGATTAAAGAGCCAGCATAGCAAATGTCATTTAGTAGCATCTCTAAACAGCAGGGAGTTTAAAAAAAACGCAACAAATTCTTCAAGAAAGATATCCCAGGAGTGATCTTTAATTGACAGGCTGACAAAATAAACCATGCTTGTTCACACATCTGTCTGTCAGTCACTACATAATTACGCAACATTCAGGAAGATTACACAAAACATGGGGTTTTTTTAGAAAATCGTGACTTTACATATTTCAACTACTGGATTAAGTAAGTCAGTCAGTTATATTCTTGTCATTCCACTTTTATCTCTGACATTCAGTCCTATTCTCTTTATTATGGAGCATTAGAGAAGAGTAAAAGGCCAGTCAGGGACTTCAGAAACAGGGAGTCATACTTTCCAAGGATGGTGATGTTCAAAGCAGAGACTGACACACAGCAGACACTGATAACACTGCACTGACACTCTACAGTTAAATTTAGAGCCTCCTGTAGGAGAGAAGAACTTTTTACTCTTGAAACCATTGGCTTTAATTGGAATGGTGCCTTTTAGAGAAGAATCCTTTAGCACAAAACCAGAAGGAATCTAAACAGACAAGGGACCTGAGGGTAAACTGTCCACAAAGTACAGAAACCACAGCAGGTGCACATCTGCAAAGTGTTTCGGGATTAAGCACACTAGGCTTGGGAACCTGGATACATAGCAGCAACCTCAGCCCCACGGGAAGTGTCCCTACAGTTACAGCTTTGCACACACAGTGCTGATCCATGAGGAACCGGCAAATGGAAAATCGCTGCAGAGCTGTTTGGACCAAGGTGCCCAGCTTTGCATAGGATTTGTGAGAGCCAGCCTTTTCCTGCTGGGATGGGTGTAATCCAAGTCAGTCTTGGGTTTTTTAAAAACACAGGAAAACTCAGATCGATCCAATGCTGTCAAGCCAATTCTGTCTGTAATGAGTAGCTACGCAAGGAACAAACCTTTTCCTGTCGGGCTTATGCCCGAGCCTGAGCAAGGAAGAGTTTTCAGAGTGGACTGGGACCACTGTTAACCTGATGGAGAAATGTGGCTCGGAAATCCTGCTGGAGCTCACTGAGGTCTTGGTAATCAGTATCGGGAAGTAAAGGGGACTTTGATCACACTCGAAGTTAAGTGGCAGATGAACTAGTTTTTAAAGGTCTTAGAAGCATGTAGATTTCAAATGCCTTACGTGCTAACCACAGATAGTTCAGGTCTTTTCCGGTTTTCCATAGTGTATCCAGGTTATTTCTCTTCGGTGACTCTAGGATGCTTCAAATGATGTCAGCGAGGCCACATGCAGTGCAAAATATTAAGCAGGTTTGTCTTCAACTACAATTAAGTGCTTAAGACCTGTCTGACTTCAAGCATAACTGTAGATATGTGCTTTGTTGATCTGGGACCCTCATTGGTGTACATTCATTGCAGAAGATGGAATTGTAGATTTTAGATTGTATTGAAAAGGTTACAGGGCCAAGGAATTGGTTTGATTGTACTTTTATTTCGATTATTGGCTGCCCTGACACAAGAACACGATGAAGAGCATTGGTCCAGTCAGTAGGACTGTGGTACCTCATCTAAGTGCCATACCAAAGACCAGTTGTTATACAAGGGGAGAAATAAAGAGGAAACAGAAATTAACTCAAAGCTGAGGAAAAGTTATGATGGGGAGAGAAAAACAAAGCCAGGTAGAGTTATTTTTGGGCAATGCACTCAGAATTGCCTGAACTGTCCTATAGCCCCCTGCACTGAAGCCAAGGGAAAAGCTCAATAATTACAATCTGCTCCTGTGATCCTCAGCATGACTGTTACTGCAGATCTCACTGAAGGAAAGACAAGCAGGCACTCTAAAAATCCCAGGTGTTCTGCCATAGAAAGACCATATGCTCACTCCCATTTTCAGTCCTCTCCTCATTCTGCTTTGGCTTGTTTGTTGTTCCAAAGAACCCTTCCCTCTCCTTCTCCTGTCCTCTGTGGCTGGGTGCTGAGGAGCTGATGAGCAGAGGGGTTATGTAAGGGAGAAATATAGGGGACACTTCTGAACCAAAAAAGAAACAAGAACAAAAGTGCATAGCAACAGTGGACTGAGTTATGTATCTGCTATTAGTGGCTGCATAAAGAGCCCTGCAGTCCCAAACACACAAAGGATTATAAATACCCAGAGAAATACTCTGTCTATCACCATAGCTACATATTTCCAATCATCTTCCACCTGCAAGAGAAAAAAAAAAGGATAAACTACATGTAGTGTAACACGCAATTGCTAGTTGACATTATGTAGTAGAAATGTCCCTTGTGCTTTTGAATGTGAAGAACACGTATGCAGTCAATAATGCTGTTTGCCGTGCTCGTAGTGGCTGCAGTTTTCAAGTGCCTTTAGAGGGGGCTGCTTTTCTCATAGTATTTATCATTTTTGGCTGACAACATCCAACACTGTCCTAGACGGCTGAATTTTTCTGAATATTCCATGCTGTCAAGCTATGGCTGTGATGCTGACATTCAAATGGGACCCGGTCACGTGGTGAGTGCAGAGTCGGGTAGTGTAACAGCAGGCAGAATCACCATCGCTGCACATCACTAGACCCTGTCAAAAGATTTATCCTGACAGCCCACAGAAGAGACAGTTTGCTATTCTGGCCTGGTTTGCCACACTGTCACTCCAATCAAGTGCCACTGATTTCAGCAAACTGAACAGCAGGACACATGGACTATAGCAAAGCAAGGGCCCTGACTAAGCAAACCATGGTGTGATGTCCTAAGCAGACCAGAGTGGATTTCATATGTCTGAGTGATGCACCTTAGAACCACATTCAATGAAATTGCTGGCCTTTAAACTGTACCTACATACAAGGACCATTGCATGAGAAAAACATTCACTCCTATAAAACTAGTGGCTGGTTATGAGCTGTCTGCTGAGGGATCTTGCACTTGTTTTCCCAATTTCTTGATGTTTTCCTCCAAGAGGCTGTTGCTGTACTTCTTGTGAAAGAAAATGCAGCAAGAACTCCAGCTGCTGTAAATGTTACCACAATTTTTAAAGGGCTTTTATTTATACAGGACTAGCGCATGATCATCACCCACATGGCTAAGTATGTCTGGCTGAAGCAGAAGCAGCCTGCAGAATCATTTCCTCAGTGCTTGCCTGAGAACAAACCTCCTTTTTTTCCACAACGAGAGGATTTTTCCCCCAAAAAAATCCTGTTTCCCATCCCTATTATGTTTTGAAAGGTAAAACACAGAGCTGCTGACGAACACACCAGACTAAGAATACAATTTCACGTGGCAGGAGAGATTTGCAAAATGCAAATCAGCAAACTGGCAATGGGAGACTTAAACATGAGCTATATAATCAAGGTGGCATGTTATTCGGGAAGCTTCATGCAAAGCCTCTTCTTTTTTGAAGTGCATTGGAGAAATCAGCTGAATATGGTAAATCGATATAGTTTATGCAGCTGGTGTGACAGTGAGACCAGGGCTAAAATGTTGGCAAAACATCAAGGGCATAAGTACTAAGCAAGGCTCAGCTCAATGCCCACCCTTCTCTCTGCTGATGGATTTCTGTCTTTTCTTTGAGCTGGCATGTATTACCCGCTCATCCTACGACTTCAGTCACCAGGCCTTAACTGTAGCCCTTTATTCAGAAAGTTATGAACTTTGTTTTCAGGTGAAACTTCTTCTGTGGGACATAAAAAAGAAAAAAAAAAAGTAATTTTGGGGTTGCACAGAAGTTGCATGAATTTGTGCTGATTTCAACAAAATATTTGGATGGAAAAAGAATACCTTTCAGTATTTCCCTCACAAAGTATTTGTGTTTTTCAAAACAAATACAGCAGTATTTAATTTTGAAATGGATTTTGCCATCATAGAGCATCTAAAAAACTTCAAAACCAAAAGCAAACATTTCATGACAGATCAAAGATAAATGTTGCAATGGGTTCTAAACACTTTTAAAAAACATCTTGAAGTGTCAGAGAATTCCTATTCTTTGTGAGGTCTACGTGTGTGTGGATGTCAGATAATGGCATCTGGCAGCTGCTTTTAATTCCTTGTGTTAACACCTGAGGATGTGGCCCCAGAATTCTCTAAATTTCAGTGTGCATAATTTTCTATGACAGTAATCCCAGTTAGGACGAAAGGTTTATAACCTCACGCAAACAAATCCATTAATTCAAATGCCAAGTCTTATTTTTTTAAACCTTCTTCTCTCTCTTTTTTTAATCTGTGGTCTGTTTTTATTCAGCTGTCATCCACCAAAACTCAACTTTTATTTCAACATATGTTTGTCATGGCTGAAAATACTGTATTGCTGAAGCCACAATTAGTCAAATCACTGTAAAAAAATCAGAACACACCAGTCTGAAACAAAGTACAGACAAGAGCATTCTGAAAGGAATATCTTTGCCAGATTTATCACTGGCTGAGAATAGTTCTTCTCTAGATCAACTACTGAGCTGCTAGACAAGGCCTGTTCTTTAAAAAGCAGTTCCCAAATTTGTGTGTTCCATTACTAACACAGCAAAGCACCCTGCTTGGCAAATTGCACACTTAGTGTTGATATGTCACTGCTTACCAGGGCTGAGCAGTTGGTGAGCAGTGGAAGAGGGCTCCTTCTGAGGATCAACAGAAGTAGGGTTGGAAGAGACCTTGAAAGGTCCCATCTAGTCTATCCCCTGCCCCACGGCAGGATCAACTCTGCCTGAACCACTGCTGATCAAAGTTCATTCCTCATGGTTGCAACAGGCTGATGCTCCTCTTCTTTTCCTTTGAAGGCTGAGCCTCATGTCTAAAACTGTCTAATCTAAAACTGTCTTGCTGCTTAAAATTATCCACTGGGTATAGATGAAGAACGGGTGAGATTACTTTCTTGTTCCATCCCCAATGGATAATCATAACTCATCCCTTTCTGTAGGAAACTTTGATGCATTCACAGGTCTCAAAATTTTCTTCTCTAGACCCAACAACTCCAGTTCCTCTGGGCTGCCCTCCTAGATCATGTTTTCACTTGCTGTTTTCTTGTGGTGTGGTGGAAGTGTGGCCCCGTGCCCAGCTAGGTGGTTACCTCCCTTACCTCTTTAGTTTCATTTTGAGACCTCATGTTCTCTGCGATGAACTGAACGCTGCTAATGACATCCTTCACTTCTGGGGAGTACTCCATGTGCTCTGCCATCCATTTCAGTGACTGATGGCTCAGTCGTCGTCTTTTGATGGTAGTGAGTTCAGTTGCCTTATCACAGTGACTGCACCACTGCTCCTTGGGTAGTTTGGTATCCTTGTGTTTGCTGTGCTTTGACTTGCCTAATACTTTCTTGTTTTTTCTGGAGATGTTTTTTTTCTGCTGTTCTAATGGCCTCTGCATCAGCAGGACTTTGGGGAGCAGGCTAAGAAAGACGGTTTTTACCCATTTGGGCATTGTGTGTGTGGTTGGAGTCCTGTAATGTATATTCAGGACAAACACCGTGATGACAATTGACAGAGTCACAAATACCATTGTGAAGAGTAAATATTCACCTACGAGGGGAATTACTAAAGAGGTGGATGGGATTGTTTCTGTGATCACCAGTAAAAATACAGTCAAAGAAAGCAGCACAGAGATGCAAAGGGTCACTTTCTCACCACAGTCAGATGGCAAGTAAAAAACTAACACAGTCAGGAATGAGATAAAGAGACAGGGAATGATCAGATTTATGGTGTAAAACATTGGCAATCTTCGAATATAAAAAGAATATGTTATGTCTGTGTAGATCTCTTCACAGCAGTTATATTTGATGTCATGTTTGTAGCCAGAAGCATCAACTATTTCCCATTCACTATTTTCCCAAAAGTCATTCATATCTACTTTGGATCCAATGATCAGAAGATCAATTTTGGCTTTGTCATAGGTCCATGAGCCAAACTTCAGTGAACAGTTCTGATGATCAAATGGGAAAAAGGTAATATCCATAGGACAGGAGCTTTTAAAAATAGCTGGTGGGGTCCAGGTGATCATTCCATCATAGCGAAGCAGGGCTTTGGTCTTGCCTTCAACTTGAAAATCTCCCACAGCACTAGAAAGACAAATGAAGCAAAGAAAAGAAAATTACCATGAAAGTAAAATGTCTTTCACGGACGCTGCAAGAAGATACTTTTGATAGAAAGGGTAATATGGGAAATTGTTCATCATACTTATTATACAAGACAATATCTGGTTTCCAAATTTTATCTGCTGGTACCCGAACAAATTCAATGCCATCGTATTCTCTGGGATCCCATCGCAATTTGTAGTCACTCCAAATCTGAAAGAAGAACGGACAAGGATTTTAAGACCTTGTATTATCAGCAAATATCTACTTCTCAGATATTCCTGTAAAATGACAGGCTATGATAAAGACTGAAAGTGCCGCACGTGTAGAAGGGGACAATGGTCTGAAAGATGACAAGGCCATGACCTGGAGAAACATTGGACATACATGAATACTACTCACATTGATTTGCTAATCCCTCCTCTGTGAGTGGATGGGATGGCAATTGTTACCCATTGCTGACATGCTGAGATCTCTGCTCTGTCTTGCTGCATCAGTACAGACCCTTACCTGGGCAAGGTCACCTCCCCACTGCAGAGAGGAGCTACAGGCCTTGCTGCTGCTGTCGTGAGAGTGCACCCAGCAGGCTAAAGGAGGCCAGCATGAAAGGACCAGCATCCTCCCGAGAGAGGGGGCACCTGTGCTCACTAACAGGCAGTTGCTGCCAGGGGACAGGTAGTGCCTGGTTCCACAGAGGCAGCGAAGTACCAAGTCAGGGGCAGCGAGGGATGCCCAGCAGCTCTCTTGCATTACTGTCTAGTGCCCTATCATGGGGCCATGCTCCATGCTCTCGCAGCCTGCCCTGAAAGTCCTGGTCATAAGTACAGTACCTTTTACAGAAAGCTTTGTGTGGACCAGAGTCAGTGCCTGAAGGAGGCTTGTTTTGGTGGAATTTGGCTTGTTCTTCTCAGCTGTTTAGGTCCTCTAAGGTCTTTATGTATAAATGCTAAAATCAAGTACGTTCCTTTTGCTGATAAATGTTTTGGTTGGAATCTTCAATATGGAGATGACCTAGGACTGCACAGCTGCATATTTAATCACTTTTTAATGGGTACATTCAGCTAGATTTACCAGATAAACCAGTGATCATGAAGTTGGAGGAGAATATAGCACACAGGAAAGATGGGAGATGTACCTTCTTGGGAATAAGAATTAAAGAGATTACTTTTTCAAATGTAACCTTTGGTTAACATAGCTTCTCCTTATTCAAGTCTTTAAAATCCTTGTTACAAAACAAGCACTTATTCTATAGATGTAGCATACAAGGTAACACAGATTTCATCAGATCAACACAAAATGCACGAGAAATGCAACGCAGTCACTTACGTGTCTTAGCCACAAATTTGTTTCCATAATCTGATTGACTTCATCCTAGAAAGAAACACAGGCATGCACATCTTCACTCCATAAATCAGTTACAGTACCCTAAGATGGCCATGAATTTATTCTGATAAAAATGGAAACTAGAATTCCACACTGACTGATAACAGATTTTTTTTCTGGATATTTTCAGGAAGCTTACATATTGTGCACAGTCATGTGCAGCTCTACTGAAAAATTTTTAAAGCTCTGCTGAAAAAATATGCCCCACAAATATCAGACAGACAAAGAACTGCACTATTGTGCCTGGGGCCTGAGTACCTAGAGAACACAAAACTTAAAATTGCTCTGGCCAGTACCAGACGAATAAAATTCTGCTGGTGGCTATGTGTTTTGTTGGATTCAGTGTTTAAAAAACTCTGTTTACATAGTACAGTACTGGTCAAGATTCAAGGAAATGTACCTGTACCACAGTGTTCTCACATTTCTACGCAAACCTCTAGAACAGATGCACTAAACCAGCACTAAATTACTTCACTGTTGTACTGAGACCTTCTTTTTACAGTCAATTATTGTTGTTGTCCATCAGCAATGAATCAGGAAAGTGCTGCGAGAGACACAAAACCAAAAGACTGGATAGTGTTCTGGTGAGACATCAACCTAAAAGTATTTGGAAAGACATATATTTATGAATGCGTCTGACATTCATATTGAAAATATCTGCAAGAATATTGCTTTGAGTATTTCTTAGTTTTTAGGCATGTGGACTCAAAAAATTTAAGATGTTTACAAGCCAAAGGTAGAAAATGTAGGCAAATTTTCAACATTGCGTACTGAAGATTAAGCACAACGATAATTTTGAAAGGCCTGCAGGGTGCCTGTCTGTAGGTTAAACTATCTAAGTTTTTGTAAAAATCATGGCGCTTTCTTGAGAAAATCCAACTGATTTACTTATGATGTTCCTTTTTTTCTCCAAAGACAGCACTTAGAACGAGGGGCTGCAATGTGAGACAGAACTGCTGAAACCTGCCAAGCTACCTGTAACATGGAAACAAAATACTTTGACAAAGGAACTCCAAAAGCTGACAACTGCTTTCACCATGGGGACTTACAATGCCTTCATTTATGCTCTCAGACAACTTAGCTCCCTGGCTGCTGTTGAATGTTGCTCCTCACTGTTTGCCTGTCACTTCATTATGGATTCAACTAGGTACCTCAGAATCAAAACTCAGACTCTGTTCTGCAGTTATTTGCTTCACAGAGCAGACTTCATCAAGGGTTAAGATTAGGTTTTGCTTCTTCCACGGTCCCTCTGCACTGCCCAGCTTGTCTGCCACCTCAGACACCCTCACCCCTGTGCACCTCATAGGGTGCATAGAGTGCACCCCAGAACATACAACATTCATCGCCAGCTCCATGCTTTAAAACACCACTCTGCAGGCTGCACGTCTCTCATGTTATTTTTAAACAGACAGACTGAAAAAGCATGCAAAAAAAAAAGAAAAAAAAATTATCTCTCAGGACACACAGGCTACAGACTGTGGACACACAACCAGGTGTCTCTGGAGTGGGCTAGCCCTGTGGAGAGAAGACCTGAACATTTGGTACTGCTGCTCTGGGTGCCAGAGGCCACTGCCTGGAGCAGAGGGATTTGATGCTGCAGAGTAAGCAAATGAACCCGTATAGTTCGAATCGCTCGTTTGAGCAACTGGAGCAACTCGGCTGGCAGAAAGAACAGCAAAGGTCTCAGCATGGACACATATGCACACATGACAACGTCAGCTATGAATGCTGTAGGTGCAACCATCACAATTACATCTGCTGTTTTAGCAATTTGCGTGAGTTTGCAACCATCCCCAAACCCCAGCAGTAGTCTGTAGTGTCTTACCACATTTGTAAGCTGGGTAATGGCCACTTCAAAATAGACTGTGACAGGATCAGACACATTTTCCACTGGCCTGATGAACTGGTTGTACTGGGAGAAGAGTTTGTGAAATAACCGTTCCTCTGATTCACAGGCTTTGGCATCTGTGTTGGTAAAGATAAAGACCAGCTTTCTCAGAGGTAAGGAAGAGGGACAGATGTATGATGGCTAACATACTATGTCCATGCTATGTTTCTGGATCCTGTGCTTGCGACCATGTATGAGGACATGGGAGCACAGAGAGAAGAGGGCCGCCAGTATCCTGTCAGTTGAAAGCATTCTCCTGCAGGACCTTGCCCACTACTCCCTGTCTCCTCAAAGGTAATGGCCTGAACGGAAATGTCTCCTAAGCGGGGCCTAGCCTATGGACCTTCATTTGGCCCACTCTGATACCAGTAGAATAAGGTGGTGTGTAGAAAATGCATAGACATGGTGGATTTCATCTTTGGGAGTTTTTGTGGTAAAACTGAGAGTTTATGAAAAGCATAGCTACTTACTCAGAAATTAAAAGCTTGAGTCTGCAACTACGGGCTAAAACTCCATGTCAGGGACTCTGATCAGGTCATTATAATGATGCCTCTTAGTCTTAAAAACTATGACTACATGTTATCCTCATGTTTGCTACCTCAGCTCTCTGGATAGCAGAATTTTTGCTCTGAAGGAACCTCATTTATTAAATTCCATGAGAAAAAAGAAGTGGCAATATTAACATTTCTTATAGAATAGCATGCATCTTTGTAATACAGAGCCATTCTTTGGGAACAAGCAGATCATAGCTGTAACCCCCAAGACAGTGCAGGACAGAGCAGATGACTTAGCAGGACTAAGGTATATGCCAGGCTCTGAGCTGCCTCATTGCAGAGTCAAGAATTAATTAATGTGTTACATACAGCCCAAACTTGAAATAGTTGTTTTCACAGTGCTAAAGGCTACAGACTTTGATTTCAAAAGCAAAGATTAAATCATGTGGACTGTGGCGACATCAGCTCAGAAAAACACTTTTCTTGAATGACTTTTCTGTTTCAATGCACTACTATAATTCAGCACATAAATTCAAAATAATTTATATGGCAATGATTTAGAACTTACTCCTCATATTGAGCACAGCTGTGTTATCAAAGGTATATAATGATGCCAAAGATATTACTGATATAACTGAACAAAAATCAGTTTTCCAGATACATGGTCATAGGTTTTTGTGTTAGCCCCAGACTGTACTAGAACACTTCAGGACAGCAATCATGACAAGCCTGTATGACTGCAAAAATTTTAAACATAGGAGGGGTTTGTGTCAGGCAGCGTGGTCTCTGGCACAGCACAGGACATAAGTTTGCAGTTTACAAGGGCCTGTTGTTGCACAAATGTCCTACAGGGAGATGCTTAGTCTCAGCATATAGCCCTGTTTTTACGCTTAGGCCATCCTCTTCCCCTGTTTCTGCCTCTATTATGCTACAACATGCTCACATTCAGGGGATTATCACACTTAAAAGCTGAAATGTTGGTTACTGGTGACTTACATGTACAGAAAGAAACCTCTAGTAAAGCTTCCATGGCTTGATGTTTTGTTTCATTCTTTCGGCATCACTCAGAGAAGATACATGAATGTCTGCAAAGTTTGGGTGCTTGTATTGCACCATTCAAAAAGGAAATTGCAATTTACTTTTCAGATTTCCTCCTCATCATCCACCGGACTGTCAGTAGAAGTACCCTACTGTGGGAACATGAGTTTCTTACCAAAGTCTCCTGACTAAAGCTGGTAAGTCTAAAAACATGTTTCATTTGGAATTTTCATACTAGCTTCTTAACAGACACATGCTTTAAAATAAAGTAAGAGGAACAGACAAGTATTTAGGCAGGCCTTTCATTTTTATACTTCAGTTACAGATTCTGATCCCATTGGTGCTCCTTTAAGACTGCCTTATGCCTTGCTAACACAAGCACTGTAATTCATACTTGTCTTGGTCATCAGCAGAAGTGGGACTTTCAGAAAAGATGTAGGGACTTAAAATAACCTCAGTGAGACTTGTGCATAGAAATAATTCCAGCATACTTAATGGTAGACCACAAACAACAGTGAACAAAAATGTATTGGGTTCACACTTTTGAAGGTGTGAGTACTGAACGTGCACATCTTTAGCCTGCATTATTTAAACAATTGCAAAATTCAAGCACCAAACAAAATTAGTAGAACTCCTATTTCATTTTCATTCTTTGCTAGAAAACAGTTCCTCAATTAGTTATGAAACCAAAATCACATTTGTGAAAACTAGTACTGCTTTAGCTCTCTTAAAATACTGTTGAAATGTTAAGAGATTTCAGGTTAGAAATAGCTGGTAGAAGCTTTACATTGAATTAATTCCAGGAAAACAGAAGCAGAGACAGTGACTAGAAAATACTTTAGAGACTAGTATCAAAGAGAGCCTACCTTTAATCAAGGATGTGAACACGAATGCCCACACACAGAAAGCGGGGCAACACCAACAGAGCCACCTCTCCAGATGCATTGCTAGCAGCAGAATAGAGCTTCCTTTTGAAAAGAGAGGTTTGGGGAAAGAAACGGAAGGCAAGAAGACATACAAGCCCGCTGGACGGTAAGTAGGCGGTAGAAAGATGGATTTCAGTTTTGCATTAGCAGCAAACTCTGCAGCCTGCTGAGCAGAGCAAAGCCTTGCAGAGTTGCTTCCACTGTCACCAGGCGAGGAGAGCTTTCGCTGTGCAGAGAGGAGGGAGTCGGGCAGCATCCTATCAGGTGACTTTCCACATTTCCAGTCACCCACACCCTTGCCCCTGGGGGAATGTGTAAGAGTGCAGGAGAGAGAGGGAAGGCAAGACACACGGCGGCCAGCGTGGAGCAGGGGGAGGAATTCACTCAGCCCTCCACCCACGGGTTAAAGAACACTCATCCGAGAGGAGCTGCTTTCGCTATTTCCTGGCGCTCACCTGAGCGAGTTCGTCAGAATATGCAGGGATGAAACAACTCCAGTTTCTTGGCTGAGGACTAATTCTGCAGCCAGAGAAATGGATGCCTCGTGGTCTTAACACCTCTACCAGAAACCATCTGAACCTTGAAATAAGCACAGCATCATGTGATAGAATTGCTTGACAGTATTCTGAGTGAATAAATCTAAGGCAAGTAGATTTATTATTGCCATCTGACAGGAACAACTGAGTTCTTCCCTGACAGACAAGTCAACTCACAACATCAACTTTTCTATCACTTTTTTTTTTTGCGTGCAGTGATTCCCATGCCAGTATCCTGCTAGTGTGGAAAAGGAGCAGCAGAATAAAAGAAAAAACATCAGGCACTGTGATGGAAGTACCTAACAGGCCAAGCTCGCTGGGACAGAATATTGCTCTTAATCACAGAAGTTAAAAAACTCATCTTGTAGAGGTACATGCATGTTCACTCCTCAGGTGTTCAGTACGCATGTCCTTGCAACAGGAACGCCTGAAAAGAATCTGTAAGCAAAGGGTCTGAGAAACTGAGAGCCCTGTTTAACTGCAGATGAATGGAAGGAACCACAGGTTACTTGGTGCCATCCAGCCTCCCAGAAAGCAGCTCGGATGGGGAATCTGCTTTATGTGTGCTCAATCCAGCATGAACAAGTCTGAGTGACAGGATGAATGATTTGATCAAAACAGAAATGCTGCTGATTTCCAGGCAGTTACATCGTTGTGTAAGTGTGGGGACAAGACAAAAGCCATGAAGAGAAAAAGGATGCCCTTCATACTGGTAGAACACAGAGGCAATGCTGCAGTTCAGGATGAGAAAGCGATTTATCTTCCACAAAAGATGTTAAAATACAGGTAGAAGGGAAGAAAGAGACTTAGGAATGAGTTGCCTGCATAGAGAAGACATTTGAAGTGGACAAAGTTGCTCATGGCAATTTTTGAGGATTGGAAAGGCAGTCCTGGAGGATTACTAACAGTAACCTAACCCTAACTAACCCTAACCCTAACCTAGCAGAGGCCCTACTCCAGTGCTCACTGGAGTCAGGGAACCTTGAGTAGAGAGAGGAGAAAACAAAAAAATCAAACCACAAGAGTGTTTGGGGGACCGGGAATCATCTTGCACTCTCAAAAACAGCAGCAAATTAAGTGTAAGTGAAGTAGAGGCCACAAGGCACGCTATGATGCATCTCCAAGCTGAATTTAGATATAAATTCTCATTACAAATGATTTTAAGATGAACACGTGTGTTTTGGCATAATGACTTTTCTTGTAAATTTCCATTTTGCCAACATTTTCCAAGGGAAAAAAGTAAAAAACCATGAAAACCATTTTGCTTTGTGTCTGGTTTTCCCAAGTTGCAGTGTTTGTTAGAACGATATTAACAGTCCAGTCCATAACCTTGCAGTTCCCTCACCTAATCCAATGAAGCTCACACTTCCTCCTTCAATTTGCGCTGCCCGTGGTGCACTGTGGCTAATGGAATCATGCAGCCATGCGGCACCACAGGACGCCTGTGGCTGGCTGTAGTCATGGCATATGCGCTCCCCTTAAAGTCCAGTGCTTGTAGAAAGATGACATTTGGCGACAGAGTCAGATGCAATCTGAAAACACACCGACCCCACATTAAAATGTTCTGACATTTCCAAACTTCATGTTCTTCCAAAAAACTGACAGTCTAGGGAATGGAGTGTGAGAAGTTAACATACCTGCAAACACATATCTGGGTTAAACTGAAAGATCTTCAGTTATAAGTAATAAGTGCGTCTGTCCTCCGGAGAGGAGGAGAACAATGGCAGGGGGTCCCTACTGCCACACTGGAGGTAAAGAGCTGCTTTGTTGTGGGGAGGAGGGCACTGGGGCAGCAGGCTGAGTTAGGAGGCCGTAACAATCGTCTCGTGAGCAGATGGCAGGAGGGACTGTGCCACAGCTGCCC